GTCAACTCGAACAATGACATTATCCACCTGCGGAACGAGCGAGTGGAATCTTCTAGAAACCACGCACCATCGTCCCAGAGAGAGGGGGGGAAGGAGAGGCAAGAGGGAGGGAGGTGAGGGAAATTGAGTGATAAATTAGGGTTAGGTTTTATTATATAGTACCTGATTTTTGAATGATAAAACTTAGTCCCTGATTTTTGAATTCCAAACTTTAAGCACCTGATTTTTTATAATTTCCCTTTTTATAAGCCTAAGGCCAATTTGGCCTAGGGATGCCATGACCAACCCTGAGAATTTTGAGGCAATAAACGATTATTTATTATGACGCCCTTATACATAATTTTTTTTATAAGCATAGTATTAACTATTTAAATAAATAACATACTTATACTTAAATGAAAGGAATTATGGAAAGGTTTTAAATATAAAATAATTAGGATAAATAGGTATGAAACTCTTTCTTTGAGGCCCTCAAATTTGGAGGCCCTATGCCATTGCCTTAATGGCTTTGGCCTAGAGCCGTCTATGGATATGTGCGCTCCAAGGACACACGCTTGGGCTACGGTTGACTTCGAAGGTTGGCGAGCTGGTTTCTTCTTGCGACTCAAAACTATTTTTGGTATAAAATTCTAGCACCTATTTTTACCTAATTGAGGCCGCCAATGACGAGACACACGATATTAGAGCACAAGAAAGATGTATAGCACGATAATCAAAGGCAATTAATACAAGAATTAAAGAATTAAGGCTCGATTTCAAGGTTCAAGAAGAAGTTGACTTTTAGGCTATGTTTGATTGTGTCAAATTTTCCATGAAAAATGGAAAATCAATTCTAATTTCCACTTTTGCAATGTTTGACAGCCATAATTTTCCTTGAATATGGTTTTCTTGGTTTCCCTCACACAAGTACAATTTCCATGGTTTTGTTGAAAATGAATTCCCACCACTTTGGTGGGAAAAATTTTTCTAGGTTACCCTTTTTTGTTTTTGACAATTGGAAAAAATTCTAGACACAATGGTAAAAAAATAACACTTTTATTGACAATTTTCATACAAAACAAAGCCAAATAAATGATATTCGGTATGGTAATTTTTATTTTTATTTATTTATTTGCAATGGGAACAAATTTTAGACCAAATGGTAAAAAAATTATTACTTTAATGGACAATTTTCATGAAAAACGAAATCAAACGGATACCAAACTTTCAACATTTTTTAGGTGGAAAATTATACCAATCAAACACAATTAATTACAATTCCTAGTAAAACAAATCCTATACAATTCAATTCCATGTAATTCATTTTCTTTCCATCCAAATTCCACATTTGCAATCAAACGGACCCCTATATTTCTTTCATTGTTCTTAATACCAGGTGATGTACTTTCAATTTGTTTTGTGTAATTTACATCTGAATATAGTAGGCTAATTTTCCTCATGTATTTGATAAAGATAAATTATTTTGTTTATTCATTTTAATTCAAGACAAATAGTTTAATTAATTTTTTGTTATTCTCGATTAATCATGTATGCTTAATTTTATTATTTGATTGCCGATCACTAATTGAATAATTTGTTGGTTGTTGTAGTTCTAAAAACTCATAATAGATTTAGAACTTTGCAAGGTTATGTAAGGAATAATATATATGGTGTGTGTAATCTTTGTGATAATCATGTGTCTGAATGAGTTCTACTCATATCAATTCAGATTAGAAATATGATCGGATCGTGCCTATAATAGACTTAATTTATCTTGAAAAAGAAAGTTAAATACACTAGAATTATCGATTATCAATAATGCATCAATAAACTAGATTACAAAGTTTAGAATTCAATTAAACGACAATAAGCGAATTCATAGTCCAATACACTCATTCCACATAAGTACAATCCAAAACTTTACATATTAAAATTATCGATGACGCCATTTGGTAATGCAAATGTCGTCATGCCATTTCACATAGTCACTTCGTTTGTCACGTGAATTATTCGATTATTTTTTATCAATGAAAGTTGATTCATGTATGAATGAGACACAAATTTGTGAGTCTATATATGATTTCACTATGAAAATAAGTTCATGTATAGATTTGATACATGAGATAAAGCTCATGTATGATTTTGATACATGTTATAAAGTTCATATAACATTCGCGTAATTAAATTATTGTATACCATGTTAGCATCCCGTTGGCCTCGTGGATTTCTCCATTAGCTTCTATTGCCAGAAGTTACTCAATGTA